GCTGACGTCAAGCAGCTGAAGGCATATCTCGGACAGCTCATGTACTATTCCAAGTTCATGGACAGCCTGGCCGCCGTGGCGGCGCCGTTCTATCGGCTGCTGAAGGCAGACCAGCGGTGGAGCTGGGGACAGGCGGAGAGCGCGGTATTCGCGCGCACCAAACAGCTGTTGGTGCAAGCGCCGTGCCTCGCACACTACGACGTGAACCTGCAGCTCATACTGTCTGTGGACGCTAGCCCGCACGGGCTCGGAGCTGTACTGTCAGTGATCGACGGTTCGGGAATGGAACGCCCGATGGGGTATGCATCGCGGAGCCTGGCGGCCGCGAAGGTCAACTACAGCCAGTTGGATAGAGAAGGGCTGGCGGTGGTCTTCGGAGTGAAAAATATTTCACCAGTTCGTGTGCGGCCGGCATTTCACCATACAAACGGACCATAAGCCTCTCCTGGGCCTCCTTAGCAGTGACAAGCCGCTACCTCTCATGGTATCGACCAGAGTAGCCAGGTGGCGTCTCGTACTGCAGGCGTACCAGTATAAGCCGGTGTACGCCCCCTCAGCTCGGCAGGCAAACAGCGATGGACTGAGCCGCCTGCCACTGGCTGTCTGCCCGGCCAGCGTTCCGGATCCCGGAGGCATCGTCTGTCTCCTGGAGTCAATGGACCAGCTGATTCGTGCCGGTCAGGTCCGCCGGTGCACGAGCCGTGACCCAGTCTTGCCACGTGCTTATCAAGCAGCCATGGACGGCTGCTGGACGGTGCCGGCAGCTGATGGGATGGAGTCATTCTACCAGCGCCGTCTCGAACTCAGCGTTCAAAATGACAACCTTCTCTGGGGAAACCGCACTGTGGTGCTCTCTGCTCTGCGGAAGGCGATGCTCTCGCTCCTGCACCAAGGACACCCTGGCGTCGTGGCAATAAAGTAAAAGGCACGCGCGCACGTTTGGTGGCCCGGCATGGACGCAGCCATCGAGTCGACCGTGAGGAGCTGTCAGGCCTGTCAGCTGAACCGGCCCCAGGCCTCCCCGGTGGCGGAGAGCCCATGGCCGTACCCGGAGGCACCGTGGGACCGTCTGCACATGGACTATGCGGGACCGGTCGATGGAGCGATGATTCTGATCATCGTGGACGCCTACTCAAAGTGGATATCGGCGTATCCCACGACGGCGTCTACAGCAGAGGCGACGATTGAACGGTTGCGGATAGCCTTCTCAGAGCATGGTGTGCCGCGTGTGGTGGTGAGCGATAACGCGGCAGTGTTCACCGGTGGTAAGCTCCGTCGCTTTCTCACCGATATGGCGTGCAACATGATCTCCCCTCCTCTACATCCGAAGTCCAATGGTCAGGGCGAGAGTGCGGTCAAAGTGATCAAAACTGGTCTGAAGAAGCAGAGTGCTGGGTCGCTGCAGACGCGCCTGAGTCGGGTCCTGTTGCAGTAACGGACCACTCCTCACTCGACTACGGGCGTGTCGCCCGCGGAGCTGCTCCACGGCCGCCCGCTGACCACTCACCTGTCCCGGCTGCGGCCAGACTCCGCCCTGCTCAAACGTGTCCGCACCAAACAAGAGGGTCAAACACTGACGAACAACCGGCACTCGACCGCGGTGCGGCAGTTCGAGACTGGCGACCCGGTGTACGTGTCTGCGGTCGACCAGCGGCCCTGGCAGCCAGCGGTGGTGGTGGCGGTATCGGGCCGTCAGTGTGCCGTCCGGCTGCCGGACGGCCGCTGCTTCCGGCGACACGTTGATCACCTGCGGGCTCGGTCGCCGGGCAGCCCGTTGGTCGATAGTGGGATGGCAGTTCCCGCTTCGGAGTGTCCTCTGTCGCCGACGGCGGTCACAGTGAAGCGGTCGGGCCCCGGCTCTCCTGACAGAGAAGTGCGACCATGCTCTCCCTTTGCGGCCCTGGACCGGTAGGGTCGCGGGCGTGTGGTGCCCGCTCGTTATCAGCAATGTTATATCGCCATGTCGGATGGTCGGACGCGCTGTCAGTTGTGTGTTATTCTCGGACTCATTAATCTTACGATGGAGGAGGTGATATGTACATAGGTTGACTGCCAGCAGTCGCAACCAAGAGGTGTCGCCACTTACGCGGCGGAGTGCTTGATTACAACCGGGGTCGGGTGCTCAGCTCGGATCGGTGGGTTGTTCGGGAGTCTGGAATACAGAGCCGCACGCGGCTGGTGCGCCGAGCGAATTGTTTCATAGATCATCCGCGGATAGATCATCACCCCAAAATTAAAGACTGATTTTAAACTTGCAAACGTCAGAAAATTTACCACAGAAAGAACTAGCGTCCGTCAAACTGGTAACCGTCCTTTCAGCCCGCGTTTGACCTTGAAGGGTACCCTTGAGAGGTCAGGACTTTTTGACGAACACTGGTCCTTGCTGTAGCGAATATTCCGGTCCTGGAAGTTTTAAAATTGGCCGGTAGTTTAAGGCTATATAGAATTCCCAGTCCTTCGAGCCTGAGTTTGATCTTGGAGGGTGGCCTTGAGAGGTCATGACTTTCTGACGGACGCTAGTTCTTCCTGTGTTGAATATTTTGGTATTTGCAAGCTTAAAGTCGGCCGTTAATTTGAGGTGATATTGAGTTCCCCGTCACTTAAGCCTGAATTTGACCTTGGAGGATTACCTTGAGAGGTCAAGACATTTTGACGGACGCTAGTTCTTTCTTTGTTAAATATTCATATATTTGCAAACTTAAAATCGGCCGGTAATTTTGAGGTCACATGGAGTTCCCCGTTCCCCGTCCGTTTTTGAGCCTGAGTTTGACGTTGAAGGATGACCTTGAGAGGTCATGACTTTTTGACAGGCGGTATTTTTGTGGTTAATATTCTGATGTTTGCAAGTTTCGAATCAGCCGGTAATTTTTGGCTGATATTGAATTCCCTGTCATTTGGGCTCACGTTTGACCTTGAAGGGTCACCTTGAAAGGTCCGGACATTTCGATGGACGCTTGTTCTTTCTGCCGGGAATATTCTAATTTTTGTTCCTTTAAAATGGGCCGGTGGTTTTTGGGTGATATAGTGTTCCCCGTCCATTGAGCGTGAGTTTGGTGGGGAAAGATGACCTTGAGAGGTGGCGACGTTTTGACGGACCTAGCTCTCTAACTTGTGAATATTTGGATGTTTTTTAAGTTTAAAATCGGTGAGTAACTTTTGGGTGGTATTGAGTGCTTTGTTCCTTGCGCCCGCCTGACATTGAATGGTGACCTTGAGAGTTCAGAACTTTACTACGGACGCTAGCTTTCACGCTTGTGAATATTTTGATGTTCGGAGTTTGCGAATCGGTGCGTATTTTTGGGTGATATCAAGTTCCCCGTCCTTTGACCAAGCTTTTGACCTCGAAGGTCACATAATATTGTAAAATAAAGATCATTTTTTATGTTTTCGTGTCGTTATTCACCTTAAGATCTTCTTCAGAGAAATCGGAGCTAGACGCTGAATAAATCGCCGAATAAATCGCCAACTTCACGGAGATATATTATGTCGTTTCGCACTCTGACGTATGATAAGGACTTTGATTTAGCTCCTTACCTTTGCGTCGATTCTGCATGAATTTGAATATCCTACATTTATATCGAGTGAGCTGAAGTAGCAATCTTTAAGATCATTCGGTGCAGTTCATAGCCCTGCCGTTCCTAAAACCTAAACCCTTTCAGTTTTGAGCTGCAAGCCCGTAGAGTTTGCGGACTATTTCGGGACACTTTTCCTTCCAAGGTCACATAAGCATCCATGGCATTATGCTGACGTCATTCAAAGCGTGACGTTCCATTGGTCGTGCGGCGATCAAGGCTAATAATAATATAATTGTGCAGTCTTATCTGGCTTGACCACGATTTTCAGATATAAGGGCCATCAAATGGCTCACAATAAGCGTTGCGCAAGGCACGATGACGTCATCTTATAATGACGCATTGAGGGTCATATTTACTAAAATGGGAAGTTGTGTTGTCCACAGAAGTTTTTCCACTTTTCAGTATACCAATAGTTAGAGTAAGCTTGTTCCACCATATCTGATGCTCGTCTCAAAATCTTCGAATGTGAAACGTTCTCCTTAAGTAGCTTGTGTTATAACAAATCGCGCAATAAAATAAGCGTAATGAACGACTGATTGTCATCGACAGTGTACAACTTCAATACAATTTTAACCACAGAAGAGATATATGGTACGCGATCACTTCATTTCGAAGGATCTAGGTGTTGAATATTAGCACTGTATATTGGCCCGTATTGACACAGAATTTACAGTGTTCGCCAGGTCAAGTGGCAGCACAACTAAAACAAATGAAAGGAGATATTCTGACGTGAAGTATCAACCAAACTGTGTTCCTTCCTCCCATGTTCACGAAGGATCACCGATGAACTGGTTGAGTGCATGGTGCTCAAATGTTTTGCCAGAGACTGATTGGCCACAAATTGTATTCTCGATTTGGGAACAAAATAACTGTCAGCGTCGGCGAGGAAAAACAAACATATGGAAAGCAACAAAACCATAAAATGAGTTCAAACCGTTTAAACATGTCCACATATGCAGAACGCTGACCGATATAAGGATATAAAAATCTCCTCTGTGCAATACCTGCTGCACCCCAGAACGTGAACCACAGTGTACGCACCATTCAGCGCAACTGCAATATCACAAGAAGGGTGGGACTAGCGACTCCCACACTGAATAACAAAACATCACTCCATCACAAGGTGTTTTGCATCATAGGAAATCCTATACGAAGCGCGTGCACAACAGTCATGCACTTGTAATGCTACGAAAGGAATGCAGGTACCAAGTTAGACCCCAGAGATAGGAACACATCAGGACGTGCCGTCCGACTGGAAAATCCGACGCACGGCACGCAGACCACAGCAGCGCGCCTACAATGCTCAAGAGTGAATACCTGGAGGAATGAAGGCAGTACATCCCGCACTACAAGCAATCCTAGCCCCCCCCCCCTCACCTCACCTCACCTCACCTCACCTCACCTCACCTCACCTCACCTCACCTCACCTCACCGTGACCCGGTTGTAGTCTAGCAAATACCATCACCAACGACCGAACATGCTCACATGCAGGCTTGACCGCACCGCGAACAGTTTAACCTCGGCACTGAGGTCCAGCGAATCCAGCAGGTCTGGATGAACGGCCAATACAGCAGCGCGGTTGAGCTGCTCATCGCTGAAGGTGTAACGAAGCCAGCGCTTCACGCGTCAGAGCAGGCTGAACGTCCGCCTACCTGAACAGGCTGACTGTCCGCTTAGCTGACCAGGCTGAACGTCCGCTCAGCTGAGCAGGCTGGGCGTCCGCTCGGCTGATCAGGCTGAACGCCCACCCATCTGCACAGGCTGAATGCCCGCTTAGCTGACCAGGCTGAACATCCGTTCAGCTGAGCGAGTGGTCACAGGGGTCGTCAGGATGGGACAGAGAAGAATGGGAGCGACTGTCAGGACTTCTCCCAGCAGTGGCTCCTGCAGCAGGCCTGCAGGATCATCTAAAAACCCGACGAGTGCATCCCGTTCGCGCTACGTTCGCCAGCATTTCCACCTGACTTCGAAGCCGGTGCTCGTCCAAGTCGTGGAACTGGGCCGCTCCGGCTAGCGCCTGATGTCAGGAGAGCGCGCTCGGCCGTGGCCAGCATCAGCTCGTCGGACTTATACCGACCACGAACCTCACCGGTGAGGCAGTCCATAGCTTCCACATACACTTGCCTGTAGTCACCCTCATGACCCACATGGTGATGTGGCTCGGACACGTCGCCCAGACGTCGCGACGTCGCGCCGCCTGTCCCGCCTGAGCTCCGCCGGTTCGACGTCCAGGCGCGCGGCATCCCACGTCACGCGCTCCTAGAACCGCGAGAATGCCTCGTGCCGCGACAGCACGACCCCTCGCGCAGTGCCAACGAGTCAACGTTAGCGGACGCAGACCGGGTACATGCTTGAACCGATGGCATGACCGGTGTGGTAAGGTTCAGGAGCAGATGGGTCAGCCGCAAACCAAAGAAAAACTCGAAGATGAGCATCATCCGGCAGAGCCCGCTGGCGGTGCTCGCGACCTCCGGCCGAGGTCCTCGGTCGCTGATCAGCCCACCCACACACTGCAGCAGCGCACCGCACTCGCTGATAACAGATACCACACAGGCCTGGACGTCCAGCGTGTTGTGCAGAGGGGTCGGCTGGCCATGGAAACGGAAGCGACACATATGCACATCACAAAACTACGCCATCGTCTTGTACAGCTTATAATACATGCCCTTTTTCGACAAGAGCTCCTGGTGCGTTCCCTGCTCCACCACCCTCCCGTGGTGAATCACAGCTATTTTGTCAGCGTCCTGAATTGTCGACAGCCTGTGGGCTATCACCAGGCACGTTCGACCGCTGGCCGCGCGCTCTAACGCCTCCTGCACACACTTCTCACTCTCCGCGTCAAGCGCAGATGTCGCTTCGTCGAGCAGTAGTATGGCCGGTCGCCGAACGAGGGCGCGCGCAATGGCGATGCGCTGCTTCTGGCCGCCACTGAGCTGTGTGCTGCTGCTGCTGCCCAGCTGCGTCTCGTAGCCGGCGGGAAGGCTGGCCACGAAGCTATGTATGTTGGCGTCCCGGGCGGCCGCTATGATCTCCTCCATCGGCACCTCCCGGCTGCAGCAGCGTAAGGACGATGTCGGGTCACACGGAAAGACAAAACATGGTCTGGAGAAGCAGACTAACGGATTCGCAAAACTCCATGAGCTGCTAAGCAGCACATCATGCAATATTACGGTAGCGTAAAATTGTATGCGGTTGCACGTACCGAAGTGGACTATCATGCACGCGAAACATTTTCTTGTAGTGTCCAATTAATGCATACACAAAGCGTTCTCTTGCGAAGACCACGGGACAACGATGAGGATAGCTATGGGTGGCGCACCCGACAATCAGATATTCCGAGGATCATGTGACAGACGGCTCAAAGTGAGTCACCGGAATAAATCCTCCGGCGGCAGCGGAAGGTCATTACGTTATTTACAATCGCGGTAGTCATCTGTCTCAGGGTTCAGGAAAATTTGTAGCGAGGTGGCCGAAAATACCACCTGTGAGTGTGCTCCTCAAGGTGAAAAGCAAATGTACATCTAAACTGCGTCTCAGAAATCTAGAATACCCGGAAGGTTGTTCGGGGTGTTGAGGGGGAGATGAAAAATTGAGATTACGGTTGAATATGGACAGGTTACGGGACCATTTCAATCTTCGGTGACAAAAAAGCTCGGCAACACCTTGTATTTTCATGTGGGAGATACGGGTCAGACACTCGGTTGAAGTTATGGTATCTGGACGATACTATCTGGGACGCCGTCGCCACTGGCGTACCGTAAAGGCTAAATAATCTTAAAACCATCCTCATTTTTCACCAGCCAATTGACACCATCGCCACTTTAAATAACTGATGCATACAGTGACTGAAGTGTACAGTTTTTATTGGGAACGAATAGTATCGATAGTAAAAACAGGTATTTTGGGGGTTCCAAAACCTTTCAATTTGGGCAAAATGAGCTAGATACTTGTGTATGACACGATGGTGTTTGGAAAACGTCCGTCAACAAAACAAACCTGAGTAATGCCCGATCACCTAGATCGTGTGATACACCATCAACAAGTGCCGTAGAAACAGGCTTTGTTACAGGTTAGCAAAACACAGCAGCATCCCATCTGCACCGGTTCACAGGAAGGAACACTGACCTGTTGTCGCCGTACGCTATGTTTTCGCGGATGGTCTTGTCGAACAGCACGGGCTCTTGCGAGACGATACCGATGTTGGAGCGGAGCCAGCTCAGGTTAAGAGCAGACACGCTCTGGCCGTCCACTGTCTGCGGGCCACGACACAGAGTTTGACGCCGGCAGCGACGGACGTTATTGTGGCGGAACATTGTCGCACTACTCAAGTGATCTCATCGAGTCAGACAACTGGATACGGCTGGGACCCACGACCGGCAGAGACCTGTCCGGGGCATCGGGCATACAGGGCTTTAGCCTTATTCCCTTTGACGGAACAGGCCTGTCGCAGCATGGACACGGCAAGTCACTGGTCCAAAAATGGTCCACTTCCCTATCCCTCAGAATGAACGAGGGACTTTGGCCCTGTATCTTCTCCTGCGCATCTCACCACATCGCCTCCTTCAGGGTCGTAGAACCTCTCCAGCAGCTGGATACAGGTGGACTTGCCACAGCCGGAAGAGCCGACCAGAGCCACCTGCTGACCTGGACTGATCTCCAAACTGAGGTCACTCAGAACGGTCGCCTCCGGACGCGTCGGGTAACGGAACCTGACGCGATGCAGGCCTATCGTTCCAGTAACCTTCGGCTGAAGAGAAAGGCTTTGTTGTCAGACGATCATTGACGCAAATGACATGAGCCTGAGAAACCCTGTCCTGTCCAATATAATACCTGTGCCCACCCGCCACGTGTGCACAAGCGATCATAAGTGCACCTGCTCCAATCTCCCGCAATCTGAAAACCCACGCTAACGCCACACCTTTATACGCTGATACGATACTCAAGCGGCGAAAGCCCTGTCAAGCAATACCGAATACAATGGCCAGGCAGAGAAGGTGGGCAAAATCAACCCCCACTAAGCAAGACCGAGTAAAATAATTAAACACAAAAGGTGTACAACACATTGTTCCGATAACCATTGCTAGTTTCGTTTTGCACTGATTGGTGGCAATGCATACGCGAGAGTGACAGTCATTATTTAAATATTGTTTTCGTGTTCGTAGGTTTGGTTCAAACCTTTCAAACGGGTGACTGTGCGATCAGACCTCACGTTATACAATTATTATTGCATGATTTGGGGCGCCAACGGGGCTGGGGCTCGCCGGCCGTAGGCCAAGTCAGTAAGGGGCCAGTACCACCCTGAACAAGCCCGGCACGGGTGGACGGTGCCGACAACAAGTGCTCAAACCACCGAGCTACCGGAACGGACAAAGTTAATTTTTCGGAGATGTAGATTTGCACACCGCAGACGTCACGGCAATCGTGAGGTTGCGCACATAGCCCTGCGAGGCGCATAGCTTGTTTGAGAGAACTATTAATATTTAGAGGTCAGACAGAGGATAGACAGCTTTAGTCCTCAAAACATGGCGCAAATATCGCCTGGCGTAACATAACCCGCTGTATTGTTTAAGCTCCATCCGACATACACATGTGTAACCACTACACTCAGTGACAGAGAGCTGTCCGCGGCGACTGACAGAACGGAGCTTTCCTGCGGAGATACTCCACGTCATGACTGCAACTGCGCAAGGCTTTGGGAATTGCCCGACCAGACGTGCCCTCAGCCGGACGAAGATCGGTGCGGCAGGGGCGAGCGAGATCGAAGCGGCCCTCCCCCACAAACTCTCAGCCGGGATTCGGTCGGCAGGGAGCGGACGAAGATCAGCATGGCAGCGGCGAGCGAGATCGAGGCGGCCCTCCCCCACAAACCCTCAGCCGGGATTCGGTCTGCAGGGAGCGAGCGAAGATCAGCGTGGCAGCGGCCAGCGAGATCGAGGCGGCCCTCCCCCACAAAGGTAGGTTGATGGTTCATTGGAAAACAGGCTCGTCGAGGACGCGGCAAACGGACTTAAGTAGGATGGCGGTCAGGAGGAAAGCTCGTTGTCGAAGGCCAGCACAGGGAATCAGTCCATTTGTATAAAGACAAGACTGGCCTAAGCTCCAGGTTTCTCTAATAATTAGCTCACGGGTTTTTATGCTGCCAGTATCGACCTTCAGTGTACGACGAGGTGGGTACTGGATGAACGACGTTATCAATCAATCGAGGTTTCAGGCTGCGTTCTTGGTCGCAGCTGAAAAAGGTTAAGAAAAATCGGTACCACCGAAGTATGCTGGCAGCAGAACCTTTGCAGGACGAATTTGTTCTAGCCCATAGCGCTCACGTGTTAAAGGTCTGCTTTCCACGGAACTGTGGACAGAATTAGATCTTGCCAGTTTCGATGAAACCGGTACAACAAAGATTGCTTTATTGCCTTGCGTCGATTCAAAGGCTGTTCTTTTTGTGGGGAAGCTGGAGGTTTTTGGCTGGTTTCATGCGGCGTAACGCCGCGAATTTTTCGGCTTTAGAGCACGCCGCCGGATCTCAGTGGCAAAGTCGTGAGCGTGCTGGGTCCATAATATAAAGGCCGTGTGTTCGACACCGGCCAGTCCGAAGCATTTTTAGCAGTCGTGCCCCTATGAAAAATGTTGAATTGTTTACTGCCAGTCTCAACACACTTTAAGTGTAATGCAGTCCGCAATTCCTTGAGCCACTTTAAAAAAGGACATGATGCTTACGCACAACTCTAAAAACATTTACCACTGTAACATTTGCACCTCGCTGGATCTGTTCGCAGGCCGACACACATTTCGTGGAATGTGAAGTTTTAGTAAACAATTGCACACCTACTGCATTTCTAGAATCGCATTGAATTTAAACATGGGATAAGATGATTTATAAAAAAGCTTCAAATCTTTGCAAACACCACCACTAGAAGATTACCAAAATAATACATTATCCGAGCTCCCACATCTCAACACCCCATACATCTCTAGTGCAGGCCTGCTTATCGGGTGCTAGGATGTACAAGCTCGTATAATTACTTATTTCAACGTTTTGTTTTGGAGCAGTCTGCATCGATTCGGAACATTTTCTGGACCAACGTGCTCGTTTTGAAAATAAAATTATTTTGCTAAGATGTTTTCACTTGTGATAATTATACGTTTGCCGGATTATCTCGTTTACCCGGGGTCTCCTGGTATAATGCTTAGATAAATTATTATTTTGGCATATCTTTATTCTCAGTGCTTGCAAAGATTGGGAACATTTTCTTCATCAAGTGTCTTGTTCTGCAAACATATTTGTCCTAGGCCGTTTTCACTCGTGCCCATGGGCACAACTTGAAGCGTTGAGGATTGAAAATATAGCCAATGCTCGTTTGCTAACCTCTCAGTACCTCTTCGCATAATAAAGGTGGATGATATTCACCATAAAATATCTGAACTCAGCCTAACATGCATCCTTTATGCATTCCTGACATGCATTTCTAGCATGCATACTTAAATAGCCTAAGTACCTGTGCCCGGTAAAAGGTATTACTTTCATTCAATACATGCCTAAGGAATTACCGCATTTTCCTGCTGTATGCAATGCAATATTTCATATTGCACGCGTTGCAGCCTTACCACTGCAATATTTCCACGATACAACAGCCCAGTGCATCAGTGGCACACCAGATCTATAGTGCCGTTCTTTCTGGGAGACGACCTGGTACCAATGGACAGTTAGTACCCTGTCGTAACCCTTCAGCTATAGGAACGCCAAAATTAACAGCAATGTAATCCAAAAATGGTGAATGCTTTTGTACCTGTCTTTTCGGGGGAAGTTCGAGTGATCCCGAATATTGGCGTACTGATTTACGCATCACAATATCCATTGAATGTCAATATTTTCCCAACCTTATAACATTCCACAACTAAGAGCACAGCTCAAATCACCTTCCCATGGCAGCAAATTCCTCCCCACCGCTGCGGAGCAAAACACCAGATCATTACCAAAGTGACTCCGCCAGCGAGCGAGCTGTCGATGGCCGGCTTCCTCTCCAGCAGGGCGAAGATGCGCTTGGCGGCGCCGAACGCCTTGCTGAAGTCGGGTGAGAAGGCGACCACCGATCCCACCACCATCGTGCCGTAGATGAGGCTCTCGCTGACCCTGCGTCCGGTGTGAGGTTTTGATTATAGGACACAAGGAACGACTAAATGTATTTTCTTACAAACGGTTGTGCGGCGCACGTGGTCCCGTAAGCAACCAATCATGGGGTGATAACGAGTGAAGTGACCATGCAGTGCCAGTTGCCATAGCGCCAGCTGAGAACGTGGCCCTTGGTGGTCGAAAGGAGTTAGTCAAGCGAGAATCAAATGGACAAAGGAGGTCATGAGCGGATAATTGTGTGGCGCTGAATCGTGAAAGCCCCCTCCCTGAAGTCACCACCGCGGTGAGATTTTTTTGACACGTATTGAAATAAATTGCTGCCTGCACTAGTATTTGCCATGTTTCCAATCGCCAGTCCCACGGTAATATTCATTTGGCTTTTCCACACATATACATCACAAAATGTGACTGAAAAAACACAAGATGCCATTGCACCGACCGCTTCTCACTTCACATGCATGTCCGTACAATTATGAAGCAGGAACTAACAGGACTCACATGAACAGGCTGGCGTACGGCAGGGTCCCATCGAGGATCAGGGGCTTGGCTACGCCGAAGACAGCCGCGTACGCCAGCGTAGGCACGCTCTGGGCCGCGCCGTACACCAGACCTGAAATACAACGGGCTCTAATGACGCCGTCGATAGCAAACTTTCCCGTCGCGCAATCGATGACAGCAACGCGGCTACCTCTAAGAAAGAATGTGATGACAAGTAAAGCAACAAAAGCAGTAGATGGATGGTTCAGCAATTTGCTCACAATCGCGACGCATGCAGCACACTGCTATCGACCAAACATAAGGAGAATGACGGTTTTAGTTAATTATTGCACATGCAGCCCATCGAAGTCACTATGGTTGTAAACCTTGTGTTGATGTTGACACACACTTATACCCAGCTTACACTTACACTTACATTGTATTCGTCTTAGTAGCTACATGTCACAGAACGAGTGGTTTGGAGCGTCGTGTGCGCTGATGCATCGCCCATGGCACTGGCTATTCAGCTGGATCAAAACTTACATTTTTCTCCGACAATTTACGGCCATATCTGGCAATATATGGCATGCGCTCAAACGGCAACAGTTCGGATTTCAGAACATCAGACCATGTGGCTTCAAGGCACGTCTTATGAAGGGGACCTGGAGGGAAGCGTTGCAACATGCGTTTGAGTGAATGTTGGTCATACACGGCTTTGAAGTGTCCGGAACGATGGTCCGAAGTACGACAGAGCAATACCAAACACGTGCGGCTCAGGGCGCCGCTTAGTCCCCAGGTACGTGCTTGGTTTGTTCTCAGCCAAAAAAGGCCGTCGCAATTCAATGCGATTTTAAATTAAGACAGAGCAGAGAAGACAAAGAAGCGCTTTGCAATGCCCTGTTTCTGTTTGGTTTGTTTCTTTGCTTGTTTGTTCCTTTTTGGCGCGACTGAGGCAGGATGAAAGCCGCATGACGCAGATAACAGTCCCAGCCATGCTTCGCATGGGAATCGATTCAGTTGAAACTGGCGAAAATGGGTGGGGAAAAATTAAGTTGGATTAGTTTCACAAAGCAAAAACACGAGCTCACGCATTGTTGAATTAAATTGTGTAATCATATGAGCCGAGAACAAGCCGATTTTCGTTGATTTCTAGATTCTTGAGTCGTTGAGAAATAGCACGTGTCGGTCTCGCCAAGTTTGTGTGAGCTGTGTCCATACAGCGCAAATCAAAATTGCATAGATTCATGTCACGTGAAAGGCATGAAAACGACGGGAAACCAGGCCCAGAATTCTACAAGCTACCAAAGGGTCGGCGCGTCCTTTATATCAGCCGCTACCTCTCACGAAAGCCTTCTTGATGTACTTGCGGCGCGTTGTTCGCAGAAGCGCTGCGTACTGATCAGAAACCAGCTCTTCCAAGCCTAAACCGGCCACAGTGCGGATGTTGGAGATCGCCTCTACGGCGATCTGAAAGTTGCATAGTAAGTTAGACTAAGCTGTCTACTTCACTACCGTACAAGCTTGCACGTAACCTGTCTGATAAGGTGTTTGTACGTTGAACACAACTTGACGGAAATATTTCAACATTCGTAATGAAAAAGCAGCATATGTTCCCTCAAAGGACTCAGGTCAATGAAAGACAAATTGAAGGGGCACACAGTACAAGAAGCCACAGGGGCAGAGCCGTAATGGTCTGGGTATCCTCCCAGGTTCCTGGTCACCTGGCAAAGCTGACAAACCCACTGGTTACCTGATTGCCGCTCTCCTGGTTAAACAGGTCTTCGTCCATGCTGCCATGCATCTGCTCGATGTAACCCTCCATGTACGTGGCCACTAAGCAGAGCGGCACGAAGGGCAGTGCGGCTAGCGCCAGCTTCCAGCTCAGCACGAACGCCAGCACCGCACCCAGCAGCACAGTGAATAACGCCCGCGTGATATTGCCCAGCCGGGTGCCAGTGGCCTGGGGGAAGTCATTACAACATAATTAGTGAGCATGTGAAGTGAGCTAAAGTGAGCTTTTTGCAGTTTTTACGTTTTATCAGATCAAATGCGTCCGATTCCGTAATCGGACGCGTCCATAATATAAACAAACGTATATATTATAAGTTATATTAGTACATATTATATGTAATGCCAGTTTACTCGAGATCCTTCTGCATAGCTCAGAGTTTCGGTTTGAAGGAGTCGCCCCTGCGGGAGAAATCTTATTGGAATGCCCGCGGACCACTTTGAAAGCAATATATTGCATTTGCCCTGTTTGCCCCAGGATGTACGTTCCATAACGTAGTCTGTAAATCCTCTCTTGCCATGTCAGTTTAATCGATACATTCCTACCTCATGAATGGATGATGGCAAAACATAATCAATACAAGTAAAAAAGGTTGATGTTTTACCCATCTCCTGCTTTGTGCTCACATTATTTAGGTTAGCAAGGCTAACAGAAATATCCTTTAGGTCCATACGTCAAAATAACAAGGCTTTATTACAACTGGCAGCATCTTTTCCACTCATTTCACCTTGAAATCGAGTGTCGTTCCCGTTCGTAAATGCAAGCGCCATGTGTTCCGCCCAAAATGGCAGATAAGCGGTGTACAACTTCACGCATTAGTTGAATTAAGCGGCTGCTGATATTTATGTGGGTCCCGCCGCCGTGTTGCGACGTCCAGTCCCAGTGGCAGAGACAACGGCCCAGTGCACGTAAGACATCTACGCTCGTTTGAGATTACGGCATCAGCGGTAACCCTCCTTACTTCCGCACATCTGTGGTGACTAGGGTTTTGGTATAAAAGGAGAAGACCCAAGAATGAGCACATAGTGAGGGAGCCTCATGCACTCACCCCCTGGAGGCTTGAGGCGTCACCAGATAGCCTGGCGCACAGAGCTCCCACTGTATTCTTCGCATTATCATAGAATGAGACCTCCTGTCGCAGCAGAGCTGCGAATGTCAGCTTCCGCACGCGCGTCGTAAGCCGCTCCCCGGCTATGCCGAACATGAGAATCTGCAAAGTTTCGAAGCTTTAAACACGTTTAAAAACATTTTTACCACCACAGTAGATATTCACACCCTGCGCAATCATAAGACACGACAACATCAACAACATAAATTGTTGTATAATCTTCCTAAACTGTATGGTTCACCAGGAAGAAATCGCGCAGCGTGTCAGCGTTTAAATCAAGGAAGTCGGCAACCAAACCAAACGAGCCCCACCATTTTGAGAACAGGAAGGGCAATGGGGCTCGGGCTTCGGGTCGACGTGACGTTTTCTCACCATTACCTGCCCACGCAATTACCTCCGTGAAAGAAGCGAGGAAGGTGACGACTCCAGCTGACAGGAACAGAAGTGAGTAGGACCGGGCGTTGGCCATTGCTTCCTCCGGATCTCCCAGCGACAGGTTCTGCGAAAATACAAATACCAAGACGTCATCAGTTGTTGGTGCCTTGTGATCAGCGCTGTTTCCTCCCGCGCTATATGTAGCTCCCCTTCCGCTTTCTCTTTCAATAATTCGCAACGCATTCAAACACAGTGACTGATAACACCTCTTAACCAAACAACTCCGTTTAGTTTTATTCCACGACGCTACTTGCATCACTAGATTCATGCGCAAGCCGTTATGGACTGCGAGTATACATTTATCAAGCTCGTGCTGGCCTCCCGTCCACACGGGTACAAGATATCATCCGACATTCACAAGAGAACAATATGTGGTTTCCAGGTTATCTGTTAAGTTTTTTTCTTATCTGATCAGCTTTTTTCCCTGTTCCATAGTTTGAAGCCTGGCGCATTGTCCAACATTCTGCACGTACTCCCAGCACAATGCCCATCAATATGGCGTATCCAGGAATGGCGGCGCCCATGACGGCGGCGCCCAGCACTCCTAGCAGCAGGAACGGCCACTCCTTGGAGTTCAGGGTCAGGATACGCCAGCCGGACACAGGCGCCAGCTTGTCCTCCTCGTCCTCCGACGGCTGCGGAGGTGGCACGCGGTGTCGGTCAGAGACACACCGACTGCAGTGGTGGTGGCATGAGCTACTGACCACGGACTCTCTCGTGACACAGAGTTCGGGAACAACACTGCTCTCGTGCTGCACGGCACCGAACACTGTCAGCTTAAAAACTGTAACAACAGACTGTTTGGTTCTGCAAGCTCAACTCTTCTGCCCTATCTTGCCATTCGGAGCTGTAAAACGACGAAGCTTTGTCGGTTGCGCTGGTCACGCATTTGAAAAGCCGATGACGCATGGGCAGGACAAATCTCAGGATACTATGGGGACTTTCGTGGGACTCCGAACCGACACAATATGATCAGCATGGTGCCCGATGCAATTAACATGTTTCTATAAAAACTTAAACCATCATGCGTATACGTACCGCAGTGAGCGACTCGTGCCTGCCCTTGCCGCTGGCGGAACGGAAGGCCTGCGCCGCTCCGTTGGCCTCCACACTGTCGGCGACGCCGTCTGTGTGGTCCGATGTCGAGGACGACACGGTCCGCAGCCTGACGCGGCCGGCAGCGGACGGCTGGCGTGCCGACTGCAGGTCACCCACTGGCAACACACACCGGCCGGTGAGTCACCGACACCGCATTACGGCAGGACCAGGTGTGCGCAGCCCGACTCACACCAGGTAGTAAGTGGCCATACAGTTGGTAACCAAAAAATACCACATGCGAGGGCGCAAAGGCCGAATGGCTAGAGCGTCGGACTCCTTCGTGGGGACTCTCGGTTCTAATCGCTGTTGTGTCACGACCCCCTGAACGGTAGTATGGGCGTGGCAGTCGCTGGCGCTCCATAAAAGGGTCGAGACGACGTGCGTCGCATCCCCTAGAAAAACACAGGCTTCGCAGTTCTCCAACATTACAGGCAAGTCCCACACATCACAGACTGCAGCTATTTGGTCTGAATTGCGTGGGCTATTTAAGGAAATGACCTACATTTGAAGATATTGAGACAATGCATCAAATATAATGGCATAGGCTCGGTTGTAACTACTGGTATGTTTTTGAGCGCGAAAGGTTACTCTAGGCAACATAATTTTACCACGGAATAAATATTCTCCTCAAGACGACATCGTTTGATTGTGTTATAAAGCATTTTTACGACGTTTGGGTCGCTGTCAAACTGAACGTGCGAAATTGCTACTGTAGTGGACGGGCTGACTCACTTGCAGTACTTTGACTTGTCAAGAGGTGTCGTATTAATCTGTGCGTTCTTTGCGGAGCCCAAATATCGCTGCGCACGCGTGTTCTGGTCCTTTCTCGTGAGCGAAATTTGGCTGCTCTCATAATTGCATACTTGTCCGTAGTCTTATATTGTGCACTCGCTTTCGCACGCTCTGCTATGGTGCTGTTCTTAAAGAGAGTCCCACCCTTGAGGTCATATTTTAAAAACATACTCCACGGACTAGTTAGGTCTCATAAAAACACAGGGTAGTGCCCTTGGAGCACCGGCAAGACAATGAGGATATCAATTTGAATTGCTCTCGAGTCCAAATTACGCCGCCAACGCTTTGTAACAGCACTACATTTCTTCCCTGCAGTCACCACCACCGTCGTCATGACATCCACCGTGCACAATTCTACTGGTGCAAATAAAAGAACATCTGTGATTGGCTCAGCGAACAAGAGCTTGTTACTGAGGGGCACATTGGTTGAAGTTTTAACTGGTGCGTCACATGGATCATGTAGTATTCCCATTCCCAAAGCCAAAGTGCGCGTCGAAAAAAGTCAGTGTGGTACGCGCCATGGAGAAGAAATCAAGACCATGTTGCAACGTTTCGTTGAAATCGCGGGATAGTGCCTGCATGCTCGCATGTATTTTTGTCTAAACTGACTTTCAAGCATTTGTCGCATTTATTACTTAGCCTTTTGACACATTAGCGTGTTGCAAACACGACAGAACACACGTTGGAAGAAGCGGGGTAAATTACATGTATTACTTTCATAATGATGAGCAGGGCGTCAAGTGAAATTTTTCCCGCAGGGCAACTACTTCAAATCGAAACTCTAGGCTATTCAGAATACTTTCAAGAAAACTGGTGTTATTGATCAATTCGTGCACATCAGAGGTAACAGCAAGTGAAAAGTACAAAAAGGTGGGTCACCCTCAAGCTTATTCAATTCCTGGTCTTATTCCCGTCTAGCTCGCACCACTACCCAAATTTCTGTATGCTATAGGGTAAAGCCTGACGATAAAATCTGAAGTCCGTTGATGCCGGAAATGGTGCTTAAGTACGGCAGACACGAATGACTCAATGATAATGTTTTCATCGGCCTTGAACACATTTTTTATACGGTTACCCAAGAGCATGTAACTAGCAGTGCCCCTCCTTCTACATGTCCAATGGGGCGTCAGCATTCCCGTAACGTTTCTGCGGCATTCATCATACATACCCTAATGACCCTGAAATAGTCTGCACGAAATAGTCTGTCCAAGTTCGTGGGCGTCAAGCTCGGAACCCAGAGTTTTTTTTTAGCCTTAAAACTGGCAAGGTTGTAACCTGTTGTGAGTGATGTTCCTTTTAAGACGTAAAGACGCGCACAAAAAATCAAGAATCAAGAATCAAAAATCAATCAATCCCTCACCCATGACGTAATTCACGCTACAAGTTCTTACCCGTGCAGCTATGTGCCCCGGAAAGGTTACATAGCTCCGATCCATACGCAGCACTCATAACAGACACATTAGAGTTGCGCAAAACAATCTTCTCCATACCGGTTTCCTCGAACTCCTCGTCTTCTTGCTCATCGTCGTCGTCCGCTTTGATGCCGGTCTGCCTGGTAACCAGACTATAATAGACGCCCTGTTGCTGCATCAGCTGCTCGTGGGAACCCATCTCGGCTACCTTGCCGTCCTTCAGGGTGCAGATGAGGTCAGCCGTCCTCACCGTTGACAGGCGGTGGGCCACAACGATGGTGGTCCGGCCGGAGCGCGCCTGCGCGGACAGCAGATGGTCAGCGGCACATCTACAGTCCGCAGCAGACCGGCGATACAGGCCGGCCGGCCCTGTCCAGCGGTGCACCATGCATGGCAGCATATATATATATATATATATATATATATATATATATATATATATATATATATATATATACATATGTATATGAATGTGTGTATACACATTACACTGACCACGCGGGGCACCATCCATCTCAGAAACAAGCCGTCGCCACCCGGTCCCAGCGCCTGTCAGGCGACGTTGCAGACCGGAGTTCACTTGGGTCAAAGCATATTGGAGTCGAGCAAACGGACACAGTACAACTGACCGCAATGTCCCCACAAATAACCGGACCAAAGTATGTGCGGTCTGTCCGCGACGACGTGACCACTTGGCGGCGGTTTCATGTAGTAACGGAGCGCTTGTGAACTTAAAACAGCTTAAGCCCACTTCTAATACGTGGCCTACGTGGTTGCACCGTATTGCATAGGGGAAAAAACGAACAATAATATGAAGGGATTCTTTGGTCGCTTTCTTACCGGCCCAGCAACAGACTGCATACGAAATGGAAATTCTGAGTGACTGTATCACAGAGCGCAAGACGTCTCCGGCACCACATAGAGCACAGTACCAATGTAAGCCTCTCCCCCTTCTGAAAAACATTGTTCGTGACTAACACAGTGTAGTCTACCACCACGAGCCTTTACGAACCTTGTTTTCAGTATTACGCCTTTTCGCCAGGCAAGTCGTGGCCTCTTCCGCATTTTCACAGTTACGAAAATAACGCGCACTTATTGGTGCCTGAGCAAAATTAAGCATAAGCCATAAGGTGCAATTCAACTTGATTTTGTCACCACGAAATTGATTTAGCAACGACTATGCATGGAGTGATTGGGGATGTACTATACCGTACCCGGTCCAGGGCCGACTGCACGAGCGCCTCGCTTTGGAGGTCCAACGCCGACGTGGCCTCATCCAGCAGGAACACCTTCGGGTTACGGACCAGGGCGCGAGCGATAGCGATCCGCTGCTTCTGACCGCCGCTCAGCTGCGCTCCCTTCTGGCCCACCATGGTGTCGAACTTTTGTGGCAGGTCCTGGATAAAATCGAAGGCGTTCGCCTCCTTCGCCGCCTGCGACCCAACAGTGACGTCAGCCGACGGCCGGCGTTGCGCTTGACAACGTACCACAAGGACGATCGTTATGGCAACAGGCGACGGTAACACATTTATAGCGTAGCACCAAAGCCGGTAATGGCAAATGCCTCGGTTCTGAACTGCTCTCTTATCTAGTGAACATCTTCACTCCACCTCGTTTGGTGCATGCAGAGTTGAGCATGTTCACCTGCTCAATGTCCCGCATGGTGCAGTGGAGTGCGCCGTATCGAATATTCTCGGCGATTGTGGTACCGAAAAGAACGGGCTCCTGGGAGACGACGCCGATCTGCCGCCTCAGCCAGGAGACGTTCAGCTCGCTCAAGCTCCGTCCGTCCAACAAAACCTGTCCGAAAGCAAGCAACCGCTTCAAATAGTTGGAAGAGCTCCTCATTCGGATATGGCTGGCCGCAGTGCTCAGACAGACAGGCTAACCCATCCGTAACCCATCCAACTATATGGGGCATTGCGGAGCAGTCGCGCAGTTGTGCCACCAAATGCGACAAACGTAATTATTGTATTTTTTGTCGTTTTTTTTTTTGGAAGGGAAATTTCTCAGCAGTGGATTGGAGAAAACTGCTTATCAGTTGCATCACATGGCTGATTGACGAACAACTGTTCACAACATCCTGGTCCATGAATCATCATGTTTGTTGTCAAAAATTGTATTGAAACGAATGAAAATACAGAAGAACTCAATGAAAACTAAATATGTTGATTTTTAACTTCTTTCAGGCGCTACCTACGGTAAAAATCAAAAAGCGCGTCTGAGCCCTCCCCCTTTTCCACCCGTTGTCTGCGCCTATAATTTCCACAAACCTGTCCTTGCAGCGGGTCATAAAACCTCTGTATCAGCTGAATACAGGTGGACTTGCCGCAGCCAGAGCTGCCCACTAGAGCCACCGTCTGTCCCGGTCGAACGGTGAAGCTCATGCCACGCAGAACCTGTGCAGCACAACACGAGAGCGCATCGTCAGCACCCCATGTTCATTCCATCGAAGCCTGTTTTCAGAAATGCCGCACTTCTACATCCAACTTGCGGGAAGCAAGATGACAATGACATGGAGTTCACGAAGCATGTAACGATGTACAGGAAGCAGAAAATGAAGACAGATGACAAAATACATATTCTGACTTGCGTGTCTGGTCGACTTGGGTAGTTGAAGTACACATCCTTCAGCTCGAGCACGCCTTCTACGTTATCAGGCTTGGCCCCACTCTGATCGCTGGGGTCGATCTTAGACTTGTGTTCTGTAGAAAACAACAGCGGTAAGGATACCCACGAGAAACGACGCTGCACCATACTGTAAGCGCCATGGATTGCGATGCCAACACAATCAAAGACAATGGTTCCATAAGACCTTTGCTAAGGAAGTATGGGAGTGGAGAAACGATAGGCTAGCTGAAGCGACAGTCACACTGGCGGAAAACATTAAAATTCTCAAATTCTTGTCGCATGACACGAAAGGGCATAAGACCGTGAACGGGACGTCAATCTATGATTACAATACAGCAGCCTGGTTAGAGCACTCCACAGAATGGTGTCTTCCGGAGGCGGCGGGCTCACCGATCACAGAGTAAACAGTGGCGGCGGCTCCTCGTGCCGCCGATAGGGCCTCCATGTGCGGCACCGCCTGCCCCACGGTCATGGCTCCTATGAGAATGCCGAAGAATACCTGAAAAGTACTTTGTCACTGACCATACCCGTAGTGCCACCCATACTCCTTCTGACGCCTCACAGTAACAGATAACGGCGGGTCGGGCGAGGTCAAACTTCGACTTTACGGTTAATATCCATGCGCGAAGGCAGATGTGCAGGGAAACGACGGAGCCTCAGTCCGTGCCAAGGCGGCGAGATCAATCAAACTTACACTGCTTTGCTCAATTTTAGAGCTCTTGGTACACCTTTCAACCATGCCCCAAACCGGCTTTGCGCCACAGCCCCTCCCCCCCTCCCCTCCCTCCAGGATCCGGTGCCGGAGACGCCTCCGCTCATATCCCTATGAACGGTTCATTAACAAAATGCCATTTGTCTTGTTGGCGTAGCTGATTTCTGGCCCGGATAAGCCACATATACCCCACATCTGCACGGCACCTTACAAATGCTGCCAGATTAGAATCGCAATGTCAGTAGGCGCGCCCACTGACCAGCGTCCCAGCGTCTCGGAGGAAATGCTCCACATTTGTGAGGGGTTTTGAGCGACATAGCCATTTTTTTCAAATAATTTGCTGCAGTCGATAGGGTCGCAGCTCAGCACTCTTGTTCGTAGGAGTTTTTGTTGTAGCGCTAATGTCGAGGAACCCTTCTTGCGACCTAAAACTCTCTAGTTTCTGAGGTACATGTCCGCAAAGATATGCAGGCTATTTCATGACCATTCAGGTACGCTTGACGTCATAGCAACATCATGCAAATCCTGGCATCCTATACAACATGCGGCGTTCAAGGCAAAAAGCAATATTGCCGTCGATATGTTCAGATCTGACGCCCGTGAGCACGATTTCCAAACATAGCTGACGTTAGTTGGCTCTCCATCAATGTTTGGCAAGCTGTGTAAGTTTCAATAACGAATCAAGTTTTACGATAAGTAATGTGAGATGTTTGGCATAATTGCTAGTCATTTCGAAAATAAGACTTGCAATAGTTAACACCGTTCAGGACTTTTTAGCCGCCTGGTCATCCCTACCGGACTTGAAAGTGCACAAGATGTCGAGACAGGAGACCTTGAAGTCGGGGCTTACAATGACGTGGATGCTTATCGTTGAAATATGGGCACTCCACACTATAGGTGTGCAAGACGTCACCCTGATGTACTCACGACGGTGATATTTCCGGCCGTGTACAGTCCGTCGCCCGCCTGTCGAGACTCCAGCACCAGCTTGGTGCCGTACCAGAAGGCCAGCGCGAAAGAGCTGAACTCCACCAGCCACGCCAGGCCGACACCCAGACCGGTGACGGCGCTGCGCCGCACCATCGCCTGGCGCGCGCCCTGGAGACGCTCAGCGAACCTGTCCCGAGCGGCCACACGGGGCGCCATTACCACTACGATAAACGGCGGCATAAACTCGTGGCACCAATACCATTACGACAAACGGCGGTACCGGATGTGGCGCCGACGCAACATTAGCTCCTCATTGCCCTGCAGCACAGAGCAGAGAGGGATCAGAAGGCCGTGTATCGCACCCTTCCCCCCCCCCCCCCCCCCATTCCCCGAACGATCGCATATGTCTGCCAGCTGATGGCGTCACGACGGCGCCCGATGCACGCCAGCGTCTCCAGCTTCCGTGCGATTATTGCTCATTTTCACCGTCCGTTGGCGGTTTTGCAACCCGCACGAGCGACACCAATTACATTGTCATACAAACTTCATTTCTGGCTCTGTCTCAAAACAGGGGCAAATATGGTTTGACGTATGCTTGGGTGGGGGCGGGGGATATACCCGCGAAGGTTTCCAGAATGATTTCCGAACAGTGCGCCGCAGCCGCGCCACATAATACATCTGTAGAGAATTATAAAGCGGGTATTGTGGTGTAAAAAAATTAGATGAACCATGTAAGATCGCTACCCTATGGCAGGTCGAATTCGGGCCGTGGCTAACAGAAAAGGGAATTTCTAAGGAATCGCTCAATGTGATACAATAAAGGAGTGTTAGACAAAGCCACACATATCTGAGATAGTTTTCTAGGAAACAAACCAAGCGAATCTAGAATTACAACTATTGTCATTAACGTAGGGTCAGGTATGAAATTCAGATCGTCCAAACTAACCTGCGATTTTACTCGAGCTTAGTCTGAAGGGTAGTTACTTATGCTCATTTTAAATTTATTAATGACGGGGATCACACAGACATGTTCCATGAGCGCTTTAAGGGTCAGAGTAGGTTCACTGACCTAAAGCGACCCAGGCAACCTTTTGTTTGTATGAACATACCGTCAAGCGTTATCCCTGACGCTTATTTGAATAGCAAAATAGAAGCACTATCGTAGGCATTTCACCACTTTAGCCTTATAAAGGGCGAACAAGGTCACTGACCCTAATAGGACACCACTGACATTTTGCTTAAAATAAGCATCTAACTTCAGCACGGGGATGTCTGGGGCGCTCAAGACACCAATGTGGAGTGACTTTGTTTGACCTTATCCGAGTCCAAGGACATGACCTCGAGGCCTCAAATTTTGACGTAGGTGAATTAAAATACGGGATAACCCACCCTGTGTATTTGGTGTCTCTTGCTACTTTGTTTCTTAAGATCTCAAGGGGGTTAAATTACGCCCCACCCCCACCCCCACCCCATCCGAGCGGGGAGTATTCAACCGACAACCCGGCGCGTGTGTTGCCATGCAGTGGCCAGGGGAGCATTCATTGTGTATCGCTCGGCCCCCATCGCCATTTCACCAACCTCAGCCATACGCGCGTGGGAGCGGAGGGGTGAAGGCGGAAAGACTGCATGTCTGCCGTCCGAAGGCAAAAAGGCCAAGTGCCATCAGGCATGTTGTTCAGGAGAAACACTTGAAGGCTTTGTCGCATACTACAAGTTTGTGTGCTTGGAGAAATCCATTTGGACGCACTTTAAACGCAACTTTGCTCCAAATGTTGACTTAACGTCATAAGATGCAGCTCTTCCAGCTGCATTGAATAAAATCACTCACTTTATTTCCAAAAAATGGCGCTTAGGCCTTCATGCGTTTGGACGGCAGATGAGAAAGGCTTCCAGTCATCTATCGTGCGTGGGATTTTGTGCAGCACTACATCCACCGGAAAGCAATCGGCAAGTTTGAAATCGAAACTGACCTTTGCGTGTCGCTCTGTTCGCCGCCGAAGGCCTTCACGGTTCGAATGGCTCCTATCACCTCTTCGGCCACCGATCCGGCTTGGCTGTACGCATCCGCCTCTTTTTGAGCGTAGCTGGCCTGAAGCTAAACAGCAACGGGGTATGTCCAGTTGGTTACAACATCTCTGGTTCAGCATATGGAAGCCGACGGGTGTCATTGCAGAGCATTTGATGCTAGTGCTGTGGGACAGCCGGGCTCCATGGCAGGCCGGCGTGGAACGCTGCGGCGCGGCCCGGCCAGATGGTGGGGTGCACGCGGTGGCTTTGTGGCGGCGCCAGACCTGTGATTAATTCACTCTCATACGTGTAAAGAATCGACTTAGACACAAAATGGCTGGGAACCAAATCCAGATCCGAATCAAACTTGGTTTTCAAATTGTCGTTCGAATCGACGGTTGACAGTGATTACAGAAAATGTCGATGCACAGTATTGACACCAAGCGACGCTATTGATGCCTAAAATGTTGCTACTGCCGAAAATGGAAACTCACCAGGGAGTTTGCACACTTTTAGGGAATTGGCAAATTCCCTTGATGATTCGCTGTGATTTGTGTGATCCTTGGTGCAAGGATGGTTTAATGTTACAGTATCTTGCATCTGCGTCGGATACAAGTCAGCTGCTTTGAATGCCCCTATCGAATTCGTTCAAAGTAGATCACGCAAGTGTCCTTCTCCGTCCTTCAAAATATTCGATTTAGTCAACACTGACACAAACTAAAAGGTCGGAATGTAAGGTCGACTCCATGCATTGTACGCACCCCTCTGTCACTTGGAGGTTTACGTGAAGATCAAGCTTGCAGTCCATCTAACAATGACATTTTGGAAGAGCGTAGCAAGCATGAATATTGCGCTTGGACCGTCATTTTAAAATGCGGTTATGAATGGAGCAGTTTAAAGCGGAAGGTACTGTAACATTTTGGGTTGTTTCTTCTAGCTGATATGGGTCACAATGGCCGGCAACTTATCCATCGTGGAACAGGTTTACGGAGCAGCTTTGTTCTGGCTGCTGTAAGCGATAAAACGGTAAGCCATTATTCCGGTCTCTGATAGATGTTCAAAACGTAGTTTAATGCGTGATTAAGGCAGTCGTTTTTCGGCATCATTGCTATTCACCGATCCGTTGCATTATGTCCTTACCAAACACACAGTAGGATTGCTATGCTAGACTAAGGCCAGGCTGAAGGATTCCCAGTGCTGATCCAGGTCATGACCTGGGGCCATTTGGACGAGAAGTGAGGCGGCAGCCAGCATGCCGCTGATGAGGAGCGTTCGGTCAGCAGCGGTCCCGTCAGCCAGTCGGCACCTCGGCCTGGTGATTGGCTAATCCCAGCGGACAGCCTCGGCCTCGTCATTGGCGGAGAGCCCGTCGCGATGTCCCGTGAGATGTTCGAAAAAAAGACTAGGGGTGCATGGTTATCTACTGAGAGAAGAACTAATTATCTTGTCATTTCTGCTGATTATGAGGAAAGATAATTTTTCTCAAAAACGAACGCAAGTAAAGAATATCCCACGACACCTCAACACTTCTGTTGAGCGAGAGCTTAGGACTTGGTTTATCATGGCATTGCCTACAAGGTAATTAGAAAACGACACGAGGCTGGAAATCATGCGAGTTAAATATTTTTTGCAGCTATTAACGAGTGCCATATATCTCATTTCCTGCGAAATCAAGAAAGACAAAGAATTTGCGTACATTTCGACTTACCAAGATCACCTCACAACGTCCGTTAACTTGCGGGCAATGAAAACAAAGCAACCAAAGAAGAAGCCTACCATATCCTGGGTATTTTCTGTTTGCTTGGAGCGCCAGCCATTTGGCAGAGTGACAACGGACAAGAATTTACCAGCAGCGTCATCTTCGAGAGCACTGCGCTGTGGCCGACGTTGAAGACTGCATGGAAAGACATGACATTCACAGTCCCAGGTTACTTGTTTTCATAATCGATTATTGTACCCCTAACCACCATGCGGGCAGCGAAGTGGCTCATGTTCATTTATGCTTTCTGAGCAGCAAGCAAAATTGTCGCATCACCAATAACTATGTATTTGCATTGACAGTGATAGAGATGCTGATCAGTTATTTACAAACCGCTTTTAAGTGCTTCTTATGATGTAACTGACCCGCAAATGATTTGGCAGTCGACGTTAAATTGTATCATAGTCGGTGCTTTTGTTTTAGGTATGCACTTGGCGTATTTCAGGCATGCACTTGGTCAGGTAGGCGTATGTGCTCGACTCATCCACCGTTAATTCTTAGGAATCCATCGAACGGGCGCACCGAACCGTTGAAGAAAAGTTCAGCTGCTGGATGGAGGAGAACCGAACCCGGCACTGGCCTTAGAGACTGCGTTTCGTGTAGTGGCAAATAAACACTCATGTATGAACATAACCGTTGAAAGCAT